TCCATGTTGTAAATTTTCAAGCTTATTATACAAATCAAACAGAGAAACTTTGCGATGGTTTTGTTGTTCCAACACAAAATGTTGCTACTATGGATCGTAGTGCTACTGTTACAGAAGGTGTTTGTAGGTACGTGAAATATTAATTATATTTTGTCCTTACTCTTGTACTTATTTTTGTAATTACTCATTTCACTTTAGAACTCGAAACGCTTTATTAAATGGTGATACATTAAATTATGACTGGGATAGTGGATATACGTGTCATCAACTTGGTTCTGGATCTATTTTAGTACAGCTTGGACAACCATATATTATAGATTCTATGAGGTATAATGTTATATTAATAATGTTGCATAATTACGTCTTATATAATTAGGTGTCAAAGGAAAATTTTCTAATTAACATTTGTATGATATTGAGGTTATTATTATGGGACTGTGACAATCGTTCATACTCATATTACATAGAGGTATCTGGTAATTGTTGGAATTGGACTCTTGTTGCTGACAGAACTAGAGAAGCTTGTCGTTCTTGGCAAACTATTCACTTTGAACCACCTCGCCCTGTTGTTTTTATACGCATTGTTGGAACACATAATACAGCAAATGAGGTTATTATTAATGAACTGTGACAAATCTATGTATCTACTTTACATATATAGAAATATTAAGAAGTAAAACCATTTTAAATAGTGAAAATATTTAGTATAGATGTAAATATTTCATATTTTAGGTTTTTCACTGTGTCCACTTTGAGTGTCCTGCTCAAACAAATGATAAAGATATAACTAAATCTCCAATTCATAAAGGAAAACCACCAACACCTAATAATTCACCTCCTCCGGAAACAGCTACAGAAGCAGTAAATATCGATCATGAAGAAACAAATTCTAGTTATAATAATGCTTGTTCATAGTTGTCCTTTGTTTGACTAATTTCTTAAAAAGAAATGCTACATAAAATTCGACCAGTACTAATTCAACGACACATTGAGTCTCAACTTTCATTTTTGAATACTACATATGTTAATTTCACATGTTAAACTCTTACAAGTTTGTATAATATTAAATAAGTTATTATTGTAAAAATAGTTGTAAAATACATTTTTTGATTAAAGTATAGTCTCAATTTGATACCTTGCTCCATTTCTTTACTAACCAAAATTAAAGAAACTTAAAAGAATTATTTCAGATAAATCCTCTTGATAATGTAAATATAAATGATAATAATTTTAAAAATTAAAAATAAATAGTTTTAGAGATTGAAACTAATTTATTAATTTGTTAAATATGTTGTTATTTATTTCGAACAATTGTAAGTTTTTTTTCTTATTGTATGTTAAAATATTTTTTTCAAAATCAGTTATTTATTATTGAACTTTTCAATATACCATGGGAAATTAAAAT